GCGCGCCCTCCCGGAGGCAGGGCTCCCAGCGCGGCCGCGGCGAGCAGCAAGAAGCTCGCGGGGTGGGAACCTCCCCACCCCTTCATGATGAGATTAGGGGCCAGGAGCCCCTCCCGCAAAAGCACAGCTCGAAGCACAGACGGCTGCGGAAGAGGGGGAATGGAAAGAAAGGGAGGGAGCCAGAGCACTACGGCCTAGGGGGGAATAAAACCGTTTAGGCATAGCCAAACGAGACCAATTGGGGTGCTTGTTTTTCGCGGCTGGGCCCTCCCGCGCAGCGTCGGGAGGTCCCGGATGGATTTTCACCCCGGAACCGTTCCCGAATGAAAATCCATCTGGAACCCCCTCCCTACGCAAAACGGCTCTGTCGGGGATGGGGGAGGGGGTGCGCCCGAGCTCCTAAAATTTGATTTTCCAAATGAAATCTCTTATTGGGGAGCTTGTTGGCCCTCCCGCGCAGCGTCGGGAGGTCCCAGATGGATTTTCACACCGGAACCGTTCCAGAATGAAAATCCATCTGGAAACCCCTCCCGACGCAAAACGGCTCTGTCGGGGAAGGGGGGGCGTGTGCCCGAGCTCGCAAAATTGCCGCCTTCCAAATGAAATCTCTTACTGGGGGGCTTGTTTTTCGCGGCTGGGCCGCTCGCGCAGCGTCGGGAAGTCCCAAATGGATTTTCACCCCGGAACCGTTCCAGGGTGAAGTCCATCTGGAACCCCCCCCCGACGCAAAGCGGCTCTGTCGGGGACGGGGGAGGTGTGCCCGAGCTCCCCAAATAGTCATTTTCCATTTGAAATCTTGTATTGGGAGCTTGTTTTTCGCGGCTGGGCCCTCCCGCGCAGCGTCGGGAGGTCCCGGATGAATTTTCACCACAGAAGCGTTCCAGTGTGAAAATCAATCTGGAACCCCCTCCCGACGCAAACGGCTCTGACGGGGATGGGGGGGCGGTGTGCCCGAGCTCCCAAAATTGCCATTTTCCAGATGAAATCTCTTATTGGGGGGGCTTGTTTTTCGCGGCTGGGCCCTCCCGCGCAGCGTCGGGAGGTCCCAGATGGATTTTCACGCCGGAGCCGTTCCCGAATGAAAATCCATCTGGAACTCCCTCCCGACGCAAAACGGCTCTGTCGGGGATGGGGGCGCGGCTGTGCCCTCCCGCGCGCAGCGTCGGGAGGTCCCAAATGGATTTTCACTCCGGAACCGTTTCAGGGTGAAAATCCATCTGGAACCTCCTCCCGATGCAAAACGGCTCTATCGGGAACGGGGGGCGGGCGTACCCGAGCTCCCAAAATTGTCATTTCCCATATGAAATCTCTTGTTAGCGGAGCTTGTTTTTCGCGGCTGGGCCCTCCCGCGCAGCGTCGGGAGGTCCCAGATTGATTTTCACACCGGAACCGTTCCAGTGTGAAAATCCATCTGGGACCCCCTCCCGACGCAAAGCGGCTCTGAAGGGAATGGGGGAGCGGTGTGCCCGAGCTCCCAAAATTGCTACTTTCCAACTGAAATCTCTTACTGGGGGGCTTGTTTTTCGCGGCTGGGCCCTCCCGCGCAGCGTCGGGAGGTCCCAAATGAATTTTCACCCCGGAATCGTTACCGAGTGAAAATCCATCTGGAACTCCCTCCCGACGCAAAGCGGCTCTGTCGGGGATGGGTGGGGGGGTGTGCCCGAGCTCCCAAAATGGCAATTTTCCATTTGAAATCTCTCTTATTTGGGAGCTTGTTTTTGGCGGCTGGGCCCTCCCGCGCAGCGTCGGGGGGCCCCGGGTGGATTTTCGCCACAGAACCGCTCCAGGGTGAAAATCCATCTGGAACCCCCTCCCGACGCAGAAGACTCTGTCGGGGATGGGGGGGGGGGGTGCACCCGAGCTCCCAAAATGGGAATTTTTCGAATGAAATCTTTTATTGGGGTGTTGTTTTTCGCGGCTGGGCCCTCCCGCGCAAGCGTCGGGAGGTCCCAAATAAATTTTCACGCCGGAGCCGTTCCCGAATGAAAATCCATCTGGAACCCCCTCCCGACGCAAAACGGCTCTGTCGGGAATGGGGGGGGGGGTGCCCGAGCTCGCAAAATTGCCACCTTCCAAATGAAATCTCTTACTGGGGGGCTTGTTTTTCGCGGCTGGGCACCCCTGCGCAGCGTCGGGAAATCCCACGTGGATTTTCACGCACCCGGACTGTGGCGAGCAGCAATCGCCCGCCCCGCCGCAGAAACCCGCGACGCGAACGTGGAGCGAACGGCAAAAACTGGCTCGAGCCCACCAGCCAAAACGGCGACAGAACGCGAAATGGGGGGCCATATGCAATCTTCTGTCTGAGCAATTGCACCGACCAAAACTCGCTCGGTGATCCACGTGCTCTCGGTTATACAGAAAGAAGGCCCTCCAGACTCCCCAACAGCGGCGGCCCCTGCCGCGCTCCGAGGTGGGCTCTCCAAAGGCGGGGGCGGGGTGGTTTTAAATCGCATTCCTGCGACACGAATAAAACTGGACTGCTCGAGTTGCACCCTCGGGCGCGCTGCAAGGGGCGGCCCCGGGCGGGGGCGGGGGGGGGCCAGCAGCAGCGGCAGCGGGAAGAGCAGCGGAGGGCGAAAAGGGGAGAGAACGGCAAGTGCCTGAACTCCGACTCGTTCGCCCAAGCTTCTCACCCGGGCCCCGATGCCCACCCCGTCGGCCGTCTCACCCTGAAGCAGCAGGTCAAAATCTACGGGAAATTCCCCTGGAAGCTCTGCGGTCCCGGGCTCTTCCCCAAACAATGCGATACCTATGCGACCACCCTGCGGGTGATAAGGAGGTGAGGGGGGAGGGGGGACCAACGTCTCACTCAATCGATCTCGCTATCGATCTCACATTCGATCTCATTATCGATATCACGATCGACCTCGCTATCGATCTCACTATCGATCTCACAATCGATCTCACAATCGATCTCACAATTGATCTCGCATTCGGTCTCACATTCGGTCTCACTATCGATCTCACTATCGATCTCACAATCGATCTCGCAGTCGATCTCACATTCGGTCTCACATTCGGTCTCACTATCGATCTCACTATCGATCTCACAATCGATCTCACAGTAGGTCTCACATTCGGTCTCACCGTCGATCTCACTATCGATCTCGCAATCGATCTCACTATCGATCTCACAATCGATCTCACAATCGATCTCGCAATTGATCTCGCATTCGGTCTCACATTCGGTCTCACTATCGATCTCACTATCGATCTCACAATCGATCTCGCAGTCGATCTCACATTCGGTCTCACATTCGGTCTCACTATCGATCTCACTATCGATCTCACAATCGATCACACTATCGGTCTCGCAATCGATCTCACAGTCGATCTCACAATCGATCTCACAATCGATCTCACAGTAGGTCTCACATTCGGTCTCACCGTCGATCTCACTATCAATCTCGCAATCGATCTCACAGTCGATCTCACATTCGGTCTCACATTCGGTCTCACTATCGATCTCACTATCGATCTCACTATCGATCCCGCTATCGATCTCACTATCGATCTCACAATCGATCTCACAATCGATCCCACATTCGGTCTCACATTCGGTCTCAGTGTCGATCTCACGAACGATCTCACAATCGATCTCGCAGTCGATCTCACATTCGGTCTCACATTCGGTCTCGCTATCGATCTCACTATCGATCTCAATCGATCTCACTATCGATCTCACTATCGATCTCACATTCGGTCTCACTTTCGATATAACAGTCGATCTCACAATCGACGTCATCATCATTATCAACAACACCAACATCATCATCATCGCCATCATCAACATCATAATCATCATCATCACCATCAACATCATGATCGGGACACCGACGGGACACCGGCGGGGCACCGGCGGGACACCGCGCGCCACAGGCCGCCCGGTGGAAAATCATTTGGTCCGGCCGCGCCTCAGCCACAGAGGGCGCCACCGGGGCACCGGCGGGGCGCCGCGCGCCACCGGCCGCCCAGTGGAGAATCATTTGGTCCGGCCGCGCCTCAGCCACAGGAGACTTTCCTCTCGCCCGCCCACGCAGCTTCGCCTCGCCCGCGCGCGCGGCACGCCCGAACACGAAACCGAAATCGATTTCCCGGTAGGGGTGCTCTCCGTTCCACCTCGACCTCACCCCCTCACCTCCAATGAAGCGAAGTCCTACGCTCTACTGCTGCCCGCTTCTCCTCGGAATATTGCTCGCGGGGCTCGGCTGATTTTGACCCTGGAGTGGCTCCGCGCTTGGGCCGCCCAGCCCGAGGTAGTCTGGCTGGGAGCTCCAGAGCCCAAATCAACAACTGGGCCCCTGAACCCCCGATGCGGACTCGATATCCCGCGCGCGTCTTCTAAGGCACTTGCACCGCGGGCGCGGTGGATAAAAGAGGTGCAATTATGGTTGGCCACGGCGCAACCGATCAGAGAGCCCGACGCGCCTGCCGCGCGCGTCGTCACAAGGTCTCCTGTGCAGAGCCCCCCTCCAACTGGCGAAACAAAATCCGTCTTGGCAAGTGTGGCTGCTGGAGCGCTGGAATCTCCGATGATGGGCCAGTGTAGTTGCAGCGCTCGAACCAGGCCTCCGCGCTTGTGGGGGCGCACCAGGTTGTCGCCTGTCAGTCCGATCTACGATAAGCCATAAAACGTTATGGTGACCAGGCTGAAGCCCCTGAAGTGCACCACCGCCGCGCAGTAGCCATCGCCGGCACCGCTCTGACGCGCGCGAAAGCCTCGGCGCTGGGCTGCAGCAGGCGCGTGGACTTGCCTGCGCCCAGCAGCGAGGATCCACTCGCCAGCCTCGTTGGCCCAAGACTCCATCTCCTGAGGCTGGGCTGGGCCTGAGAAGCGCGCATTGTTGGCGATGGGCCCCGCGCCGATCGCCCGCGCTTCTTCGCGCCACTGCCGCGCTGCATCTGCCGCCGCGTGGGTCTCCACGAAGGCCCAGAACTGATGCTTTTCAGCGTTTTCCGACAGATATTGCCATGCCTCCGACGTCTTGGAGGACGCCCCCACGTTGGTTCAATTCGCAGAGAAGAGGCTGCATTCGTCGGTCGGTTGGTCACCCCCTCCTTGGGAGACGTCAGCAGCAGAAGCGACTGGCGGAGCATCTTGAAAGGCCTCCGTTGCCTGGTCCGAGGGGGGCGGGCCGCGGCAAGGCCAGGGGGGCAAACCCGCGCCTGGCGCCACGCCCGAGGCTGGCGTACCAGCCTGCCCCCCCTCGGCCCGTTGCAGCATGGAGGTGGGCGACGACAAAGTCCCCGAACTCGAGGCGCCCGCCGCCTGCGATCCCGAGCAATCTGCCGTGGCAGAAATCGAAATTGAAACTGCAGGCGCTGAGCGCTGTGCGGTACATGCCGCAGTAGCTGGCGCGTCTGCAGCGATGGCCTCGTCGATGCTGATCTTGTAGAAGAGAGCATCGAATAGGTTCAAAACCTTGGCGCTGGTGCCGGTGCCGTTTGGGGTCGGGGCGTCCTGCGCCTCGTCGAAAGGAGGCCCCGACTGCGCCTCTCACTTGCTATCTGCCACCTTGCCACGGGGGTTCTTGGCTCCCTTGCCTGGCTTGCTGCCTGGCATGCTGCCGCTGCTGCTGCCGACGGCCTTGAGCGCCTCCTGCCCCAGGCGGGCCGCTGCATGGGCCGCCGCCGTCTTGCTCGCCGAGATGGACGCCGCGGCGGCCTCTATGGCTGGGTCGGTGGCTCCCATGGCCTCACCAGGGGCGTCGACCGCGGGAGCAGGAAACTGGCCCTCAGGTGGTTGCGCCGCTGCTGGTTCGACACATTCACCTTCCTGGCCTGCGGCAGCAGCAAATTCTCCATCCGCTCCCTCAATATTGCGTTTCTTGCCAGCGCGCGCGTTGACCTTTTCGTGCGGTTCCTTAGCCCAAGCGATGCGAGTCTTCACCTCGTCGGACCTGGCTGCCAACTGCGTCTTGTAGTGCTGGAGCTCCTGGTGGATTTTCGGCAGATCGTTTTTTTTTTTTTTTTTTTTTTTTTTTTTTTTTTTTTTTTTTTTTTTTTTTTTTTTTTTTTTTTTTTTTTTTTTTTCCGCGGTCTCGATTCCATCCAGCTGGTCCAGATCTCTGAATAAGTTATCGTCCCATACGATGTCCAAAGCTGCATGGGGATCGGCCTGCCCTTGCTGGCCTTCTCCTGTGCCGCATCCAACCTCCCTGGCGAAAGCTGCTGTGGCCTGCTTCCGCGCCATGTCTACTTGTGCGAGTACGAGCGCCGACTCGTTCTCCCGCTGCTGGGCTTTCTCTAATCTGGCCTGGCAGCGGATGACGGCGGCGACTGCTTGGTCATGTTTAGCATTGGCGTCTCTCCACTGGCATGAGACGCGCTTGACTGCGTCTTCAGCTGTGGACGCCTTGCTGGCCGCGAGATGAAGCGCTGCGACGGTTGTGGCCGAACCTTTGATGAGACCCTCCACGACGGCCTGCGTTTGCTGCTGCTGCGTCTGAAAGAACTGCTGATCGCGGGATCCACGACCAGGCTGGTGCAAGGTGTTGCCGTCGCCCTTGTAGAGCTTGACGGTGGCCCCGCAATTGACGCAGCGAAATTGGCGACCCTGGAGGCTCTTGTTCCACTCCCACGCGCCACAGGAGCCGAATTTGGACCAGTGCGACTTTTGGCATCGGGTCATCTCGTAGCCAAATGTGTTTTTGCACCGTCTAGCCAGACGCTGTCTGTGAGTATTTGTGAATCGCAAATGAGCGGTGCTCCTCAAGCACTCCGAGAAAATACAATGCTGGACTGAGTACGAGCCTGGTGGGGCGCACGGGGGCGCAAGAGCTTGGTTCTCGAGCCCAAGTTGCTTGAGTTTTGCGGCCATAGGGAGCTGTGAAGCCCTGGGAGGCCGTGGCAGTCGCCTCAAGAGGCCCTGGGCCGGGAAGTCTTGGGAAACACTAAGAGGCCGATAGTTCGACGATGGACCCCGTGGTACCAATCGACCAACCGAAATTATGATGTCTTGGACGGTCTCCAGCAATCTCAGGCGGTCTTCTGCTCTAAAGCTGGATGGTTGCGTTCATCGAGGCGTCCAGTCAATGCCGTGCGAAATGCCGCTCGAGGTCCTGGGAAAGGCTTGGGGGGGAACCTTGGAAGATCGTGGGAGGCCTTGGGATGTGCGGCGTCAAGTACGTGAATCACATCCCTGGTGGTCCCTTCACCTTTGCGTACCCTGACCACTTTATACACACTCGTAATTGAGGGCCCTCAGGTCGATCGGATCGAAATCAAATGCACGACAACTTCAGACGGAAACGCCAGGTCCTGACTGGAGCCGAGAGAAGAGAGATGGAGAAGCGAGTAAGGAGGGAGCACAGAGAAGGAATGGAGAAAGGCGAGGGAAGAGGAGGGAGGATAGATAATGGAAGGAGAGGAAGGAAAAAGGGTGGGCGAGATGTGCGAGGGGGGATAAATATCGACCTTGTTGATTAAACATCCAATTGCCCACGGCTGCCCGTCCCCTGCTCCCCCTCCCCTCCCTTCCACCCCTCTTTGTCCCCCCCTCCCTCCGCATCATGCACGTCCTTCCCTCCTCCTTCCCCTCCTCCCTCGCTCTTCCCCTCCCGGCCTCGACAGAACCAGCAGCCCCACGGGAGGTGCGCCAAAACGCTGCCCAAATCTCAAATCGACACGACCTGAGCGGGCGGAGCCGGGTCACCGTAGGAACAGGTCCAGCAGGAACGCCTTCCCCGTCCGAGAGCCCCCCCACCAGGGACACGACGGCACCTCTGGGGCCAGGAGATCTAGGCCACCTGGCTTCGCGCACCGCGCCCCGAGACGCGCGTGGCCCAGTTGCGTGGCCCGGTGATCTTCGCGCCATCTCGCCGCCGCCCTGGAGAAGCGAAACTCAGACTCCGATCGGAAACGCACTAACCCGAACCCTGTCGCGAAGCCCGGCTGGCCGCTCAATGGCTCCCAATTCCGGGTCAGCAGAGGGCGCCCAAGCCCAGGTCAGCCAGTGAGGACTGGCTGACCCCCGTCACGTGAGCCCTGGTCGGGCCCCCGATCGGCGAGACCTCGCCCCACGCTGCTAGGCCGCGGGCCGTGCGGGCGGGCGCGCCCCGAAAGCGGGGGGGGAGCCGGGCCGCGCCCCGACCTGAGACGGTTGCGCGGCAACGCACCCGCTCCGCGCGCATAGGCGAGGAACAGAAGACGGAGCACGCGCACGTTTCTCCCTGTGGCTCGCCGGATGAGTCCAACCAGCGGATGCACGGTGGGGGTCACCGACAAAGCAAATTACAGACATCGTGCAACCAGCAGCAACGCTGAGTAACGGGCGACGGGGCTTCGAGTAGCTACAAACAGATTCCCGACCTGGAGCTGAGGGACGGCGGGAAAAGCAAAGCCTCTCCTGAGTCCAAAGCGAACCCCGTTCTGGAGTCTTGACTGCAGCTTCCTACGGCGGCGGCGCGCGTGGCACGCACGCGCGTGGAGTCGAGGACCAGTCCTGGGCAAACCAAAAAATACGGATACCTCTAAACGCTAAACCCCAGACCCCTCTTGGGGTGCGTCCTGACAAGAATCCCACTAGCCCTTAGGCCGTAGGAGAGTCTAGGGTGTTGTCTTCCATCTGCCCCTCTTGCCCTTCGGGGAAGGGTATATCACTGTTCCCTATTAATATACACCCCCTCCCCCAGGCGACTGGGAGCCACTCCGAGTCAATGAGGGCACCCCCCACCATCCCTTATAAAAAAGCACTACAAACACACACTCTGCCTCCAAACTCGGAGCATGCGCAACGGACCCGATGCGGCCTCCCCCCACCACCCCTGTCAAAAAACACTACAGAGTACACTTGGCGGCGGCGGCGGCGGCGACTGCGGCGGGGGCAGCGGCTGCGGCGGCTGCGGCGGTGGCGGCGGCGGTGGCGGGGGCGGCGGCGGCGGCGGCGGAGGCGGCGGCGGTGGCGGCGGCGGCTGCGGCGGCAGCGGCTTCGGCGGCGGCGATTCGGCAGCGGGGGCGGCGGCGCGGGCACCGGTGGCGGCGGCGGGCGGCGGACAGCGTCGGCGGCGGGGGCGGCGGCGCGGCGGCGGCGGCGGCGGCGGCGGCGGCGGCGGCGGATTCGCCCCCAGTAGCTGGCCATCCAAAAACGACCGCTGCATATGCTGCGGCTCGGGCCAGGCTCGGGTGCTACGTATTTGTTGGGAGGGCGGGTGTGAGTGAGCGAGACGGCGTGCGGGCGGGGAGGGCGTCTTGATCACGGTTCCCTATTGATTATCCCGGCAAAGCAACCTAACAGCGATGTGTAGAAGCATATCTGAAAGCATTCCCCTTAAGATTCAGATGAAAATCCAGTTGTAGAATTCTGCTGTTCTCGCAGTCGTAGTCGCATTCGCGATGACAGTCGCAGCGGCAACGGCAGTCGCAGTCACAGCCTCAGCCTCAGCCTGCCTCAGCCTCAGCCTCAGCCTGCCTCAGCCTCAGCCTGCCTCAGCCTCAGCCTCAGCCTGCTTCAGCCTCAGCCTCAGTCAGCCTTCAGCCTCGGCCTCAGCCTCAGCCTGCCTCAGCCTCAGCCTGCCTCAGCCTCAGCCTCAGCCTCAGCCTGCCTCAGCATCAGCCTGCCTCAGCCTCAGCCTCAGCCTGCCTCAGCCTCAGCCTCAGTGCTTCAGCCTCAGCCTCAGTCTGCCTTCAGCCTCGGCCTCAGCCTCAGCCTGCCTCAGCCCCAGCCTGCCTCGACCGCAGCATCAGCCTGCCTCAGCATTCAAAATGTGGCCCAGGAAAGGGAGTTCTGGGAAGTCGAAGAGCACGAAGTTGCCTACAGTTGGCTACGGGCATTCAAAATGTGGCCCGGGAATGGAGTTCTGGGAACTCGAAGAGCACGAAGTGGCCTACAGTTGGCTCCGGGCATTCAAAATGTGGCCCGGGAATGGAGTTCTGGGAACTCGAAGAGCACGAAGTGGCCTACAGTTGGCTCCGGGCATTCAAAATGTGGCCCGGGAATGGAGTTCTGGGGACTCGAAGACCACGAAGTGGCCTACAGTTGGCTCCGGGCATTCAAAATGTGGCCCGGGAATGGAGTTCTGGGAAGTCGAAGAGCACGAAGTGGCCTACAGTTGGCTCCGGGCATTCAGAATGTGGCCCGGGAATGGAGTTCTGGGAGGTCGAAGAGCACGAAGTGTGTGACTGTTTGCTTAAAACGACTTCTGCGGCACCCTGTCCGGCACCCGCCCAGACCCCCCTGTGGAGTCATCTGCTGCTCTCTTTTAAGACTACTAGAAACCTATCAGTCTTCGCTGTTAGGTAATAAACACCCCCTCCCCCAAGCGACTGGGGGCCAACCCGAGTCCATGCCGACCCCCCCCCACCATCCCTGGAACAAAAACCATACAAAACACACTTCGCCTCCAAATTCGGAACATGCGCAGCCAACCCGATGCGCCCCCCCCCCCGCCATCCCTGTCAAAAAAATCATTATCCCGGCAAAGCAACCTAACAGCGATGTGTAGAAGCATATCTGAAAGCATTCCCCTTAAGATTCAGATGAAAATCCAGTTGTAGAATTCTGCTGTTCTCGCAGTCGTAGTCGCATTCGCGATGACAGTCGCAGCGGCAACGGCAGTCGCAGTCACAGCCTCAACATCAGCCTGCCTCAGCCTCAGCCTCAGCCTGCCTCAGCCTCAGCCTGCCTCAGCCTCAGCCTCAGCCTGCTTCAGCCTCAGCCTCAGTCTGCCTTCAGCCTCGGCCTCAGCCTCAGCCTGCCTCAGCCTCAGCCTGCATCAGCCTCAGCCTCAGCCTCAGCCTGCCTCAGCATCAGCCTGCCTCAGCCTCAGCCTCAGCCTGCCTCAGCCTCAGCCTCAGTCTGCTTCAGCCTCAGCCTCAGTCTGCCTTCAGCCTCGGCCTCAGCCTCAGCCTCAGCCTCAGCCTCAGCCCAGCCTGCCTCGACCTGCAGCATCAGCCTGCCTCAGCATTCAAAATGTGGCCCAGGAAAAGGAGTTCTGGGAAGTCGAAGAGCACGAAGTTGCCTACAGTTGGCTCCGGGCATTCAAAATGTGGCCCGGGAATGGAGTTCTGGGAACTCGAAGAGCACGAAGTGGCCTACAGTTGGCTCCGGGCATTCAAAATGTGGCCCGGGAATGGAGTTCTGGGAACTCGAAGACCACGAAGTGGCCTACAGTTGGCTCCGGGCATTCAAAATGTGGCCCGGGAATGGAGTTCTGGGAAGTCGAAGAGCACGAAGTGGCCTACAGTTGGCTCCGGGCATTCAGAATGTGGCCCGGGAATGGAGTTCTGGGAGGTCGAAGAGCATGAAGTGTGTGACTGTTTGATTAAAACGACTTCTGCGGCACCCTGTCCGGCACCCGCCCAGACCCCCCTGTGGAGTCATCTGCTGCTCTCTTTTAAGACTACTAGAAACCTATCAGTCTTCGCTGTTAGGTAATTACTGAATACACTTTGCGGCGACGGCGGCTGCGGCGGCTGCGGCGGCGGCGGCGGCGGCGGCGGCTGCGGCGGCGGCGGCGGCGGCGGGGGCGGGGGCGGCGGCGGCGGCGGCGGCGGCGGCGGCGGCGGCGGCGGCGGCGGCAGCGGCTGCGGCGGCGGTTAGGTTGCGGGGCGGCGGCGGCGGCGGCGGCGGCGGAGTGGCCCCCAGTAGCTGCCCATCCAAAGACGACTGCTGAATATGCTGAGGCTCGGGCCAGACTCGGGTGCTACGTATGTGTTGGGAGGGCGGGTGGGAGTGAGCGAGACGGCGCGCGGGCGGGGAGGGGGTAACTTGACCCCTCCCCCTACCCCCCCCCCTGGACCTGGACGGGGCCAGCCCCGAGGTGTCAGAGGTCAGAGCGTCCAAAAAGGCCTCGGCGAGGAAGCCAATACCATTGGTTTTAGACAAATGTTTACATGTTTGTTAACGGGCTTTCTTAGGGAGCTCTAGGTGCAGGCCGTGTGTGATGCGCTCTGGGCTCAAGGGGCCCTGAGTGCTTACCCCCCCCCCCCCATCGGGCCTAGAAAGACTGGGGGCGGGGCAGCATGCAGAGCAGATGCAGCATAGATGTCCATAACGTGTTGGCTCTAGCTTCAACGAGCAGCAGCCCTCTCCGCGCCTCCTGTCGAGCGCGCGCGGGATTGCAGCCACGACGCGCCTTTCCTGGCTCGCCGCTCGCGTGCTCGGCACCGCCCTGGTGCAGGAGGACGCTGTCGAGGATCTGCTGAACTACGCGTCGGGCGAGTTCGGCAACCTGTTATCAGGCTCTCCGCTGCTTCTGGGCGACCTCGAGGCAGAGCCCGAAGCGCCCTTCGACGAGCCCAGTGTCGACGCGGAGGACGTCGACCCGTGCGAGGACGAGCCTGACAGTCAGCCTATGCCCTTCCAGCGATGGAACAGGGTCTACTACCGCCCGAGGGCGGATTCCAACCAGGGCCTCACGATGCTCCTGGTCAGCAGGTTCAGCGCCACAGCGGGCGAGAAGAGGTGGGTCTGCATCGACCCGACGGGCAGGCTTCAGGTCATAGACCTCGGCCAGCCGGCGAAGGTGAAGTCGACGAAGTTTGCAGGCGTGAACCACGGCACTTTCCAGGGCCTCTCCGCGGCGGAGAAGGACAAGACCATCGAGGCAGCCGATCGCACCATCGCGACGGGGTCAGCAGCTACGACGGGGAAGATCACCAGGGATCACCATCCACGAGGCGGAGGTGCTGCAGGTCGCAGATCCCACCGCCGCCACGCGGTTTCGTGGCTCATGAAGCTTGCCTCCAACATCGGCGGCTACGTGTGGGCGCGCCGGAGCTTAGGCACAGCTGCTGGCTCTACGTTCGTGCTCTGGCGTGCCGTCGTCTACCTCAACGTGGTGGAGTGGGCGAAGTGGGGCTACGCGTCGCTGAAGGAGACCGTGGACACAGTGGAGCACTTCAAAGAGGAGATCGAGATGGTGTTCGAGATGCACGAGACAGGGGCCCTCGAGCCGCTCTACTTCTCGGTGATGGTGATGCTCGTGAGCGGCTTCTTCATGTCTTGCTGCAGGTCCTCGCGTTCCTCGCAAGCTCCCTCCTCTACAACGTCTTCTGGTACGTCAGCTCCTGCTCTTCCTGGCTGGAGCTGGCCCTCATGGTCGGCCACGCCGTCACCAAGCCAGTCTGGATCATCAACTCCCAGAGACGAGGGCGCCCAGGTATCGGACGGCGAGGATTCGGACTCGGCGGGAGGCGAAGTTCTGAGGCAGCTGGGTATGGTGGCCGAGAGGCTCTCGGCTCCCGAGGAGCGGCAGGCGTCGCGCCCGACGGAGCCTCCTCAACTCGACCCACTCCAGTTCCGTCAGCGCCTCAAGCCCCAGCGAAGCCTGGAATCAGCGCGGACAACTACGACCAGATGATGGGTGCCCTCCTTCAAAGGCTGGACCGCCACAAGGAGATGGTGGAGCAGGACAGCATGGCCGCTGCTGCCAGCGGGTCCGAGCCGCGGGTAGTCAGCTCAACGCCTAACCCCGAGATCGACTCGTTGGTCAGGGGCCTGGGCGGCTCCTTCAAGGACATGCGCGAGCTCGCCAAGGAGAAGCTCCAGTCCTACTCCAGCGACGTGGCGTGGACGATCCCAGGAGGCATCAAGACGAGAGTGGCCCCGTCGATGGTCGTTCGCCTTTACCGCAGTGGAGCTTCAGCGGCGTCAAGCGCCAGGGAGATGATTCGCGCGAAGCAGCTGGATGGCAACCACATGGCGGAGGAGGCTCTTCTCATCAGCATGATGCTCGATCGTTCCATGGTGGAGGCGCCTGCGGACTGGATCAACTACAAGACGACGGAGCTGGCGACGCGGCGCCTCCACGGCATCGAGAGGGCCTTCGAGAACGCGCAGCAGAGGTCGGACTGGAAGCCTCCCAACGGCTCAAAGGCCGGCTGGAAGTCTCGCGTCAACTACGCCCTGCTGGAGGAGCTCGACACGTCCAAGTCGGATCAGGAGGGGCTGCTCGTCGACGGCGTGGAAAGGGAGCTTCGCGAACGCTTGGCTCATCGCGCCCTTCTCGCCAAATCCCTCGACAAGCTACAGGACAAGAAGCACGCGCCGAGCAAGGACGACTGACTGCTGGGAGGTGCTCACTATTCAGGCGCTTCGCGAAGCGCATTCTCTTGGCGGCCATCATCTTCGAGGCTGCCCACATCTACCGCAACTTGCACGGCGTTATTTTCCTAATTTCTCATCGCGATGAGAGCGGAGGTCGAATTCCCATCAGAAGGTCGAGCGCGCGACCCCCTGGAGGTGCTGCCGCTCCTGCCGGCGCCGCCCCCCCCTTCATCTCCTTCGGGGCGGTCGAGGTCGCGTTTCGCCCAGGAGCGAGCGATCAGGGTCAGGACGAACGCCGCTCTGAGGTCCTTAGCCGCGCTGACGACGAACTCCTACCACGACCTGCGGGACTCCAGCTTCGGATCCTCCAAGGAGTGGGACATGAGCCACGAGTTGCCGCGCAGGATCTCCGAGAGGATGCTGCAGTGCCACCGGGGCGCGCACGATCAGAAGATGCACGACTCCGACGCCGAGTCCGCTTTCGAGCGGCTGGCCATGCATGCCAAGCCTGGGACCTACTTGGGCTTCAATGTATGAGAGAAGGACAACGACGACGTGCCGCAACGAGGGAAAGTCATGCCCTTCGTGAGCGGCGAAGCGTCTCTGCCTCCAGCCGGGACGCAGCCATGCGACGTGAGAATGACTTCACCAAAAGCGAGATACCACTTCGACAGATTCTACGAGAGGATGCGCCTGCCGCCCAGCCAGGTCGACCAGGCCGATATCGAGAAGACGAGAGCCTACATGGACCCCAGCTTGAGGAACAAATCGGCTCGCCTCCAGTTCGCGCTGAGACTATGGGAGTCAGGCATGCTCGGCTTCACGGACATCTGCAAGGCGGAGATCTCGGTCTTCTTCGTCATGAAGAAGGTCGGCGAGGCAGGCCAGCTCATCCTTCGTCCAGTCTGGGACCTGAAGCAGGTGAACAAGCGCTTTCAGAAGCCACCGCACCTCTCTCTGGGCTCTCCGATGGCGATGGCGGAACTGGACCTATCCGACGAGATCACAGAGGGCAGGATCTTGCAGTCAACGTGGGGAGACGTGCCATATTACTTTCGCAGATGCAAGAGCTGCAGCGAGCTGTGGCCGTACATGGTGTTCGGCGGCGTGACGATCCCCCAGCTCTTGAAGGGGCTCAAGCGCCAGGGCAAGGATACCCCGAAGGTTCCAAAAAGGGGCCCGCTACTTGTGCTTGGTGGTGATGCTGATGGGCTTCAGCTGGTCACCTGCGATCTGTCACGGTGCTCTGGAGGACCTTCTGCGCGATCTACCCGGCTTCCCGCGGGCAGCCCAGCTGGTCCACGGGCGGGTTCCTCCCAGCTTCTCCGAGACGGCCTTCATCTACTGGGTGTTCATGGACGACTTCGCCTCGATGACTTCACAGCGGGACGAGAAGAGCGAGGTGGCGGAAGCAGTTCGCGAACACGCTGGGAAGAAGCTCAAGGAGGTGGGCCTCGACATGCACAAGGACGGAATCGGTGTGGCGATGCCTCTCTCTCTGGGCGTGACGATTACTCAACGCCCTTATCGCTTGATGGCAGCGCAGGAAAAAGTCAAGAATGTCATTGGTGCGACCAAGGCTCTCCTGGATCGAGGTCGAGCGACTTCAACCGAGCTATCAAGGATAAGTGGGTCGTGGATGTGGGTGGCGATGTGCTGTCGGGCCGCCTTCTGCATGCTGGGCGCCTGCTACAAGTTCGTGACAAAGTACGGCGACAACGAGCAGGTTCACATCCTGTGGGAGAGCGCGACCAACGAGATGTACATGCTGTACCACCTGGCCCCGCTGATGTACACCCACTTGGAGTCGCAGTGGAGCTCCAGCGTCTTCGCTACAGACGCAAGCGAGGAAGGCCTGGGAGTAGCCGAGACAACAGCAAGCCGAGAAGAAGTCAAAGCCGAAGTAAACCGACAGTGGAGAGCCGAACATCTTCGAGACATGGCCAGGGACGACGAGGAGGAGGAACTGCTCAGCGGCGAAAACCTCGAGCGAGCCAGACGAGGCATCCCCCCCAAAGGTGATCGATGGCGAGGTCCCTCCTATGAAGTTCATGGCCGACATCTTATCGGGGTACGGCGGCTTCGGGCAGGCGATCCGCGAGGAGTTACAGTGCCAGACCTTGTTCGTGGACAACGCAAAGCAGGCTCGCCGCGACCTCCTGGACCCGTCCTTCGTCGAGCTAGTCGGTCGTGCAGTTCTTCGGCCCTTCTTCTTCATGGTCCACTTGGCTCCTCCCTGCTCTACTTTTTCACGAGCTCGTCGACCTCCCTTGCGAGCTCCAGGCCGTCGGATACTTGGTCTCCCCGGGCTTTCTCCTCAGCAGGTTCAGCGAGTACGGGAGGGCAGCGCCTTGGCGCAAGCGGCGATCTCTATTTGCTATGCGTGTCTGGCCTCAGGAACAGGTTTTCCACTGGAGAATCCAAGGACTTCGATGATCTGGGACCTCCCCGACATGGCGAAGTGGTTGACGATGAATGGAGTTCTCGTCGTGGGGATGGTGCACTGTTCTTTCGGAGCCCGATGGAAGAAGCCAACTCGGATACTGACCAATGTGCAGGCGCTGAAGGAGCTGGAGTGCAGGTGCTCTCAGGATCACGGTCATCAGGAGCTTCGTGGACGCGATTCTCAAGGGCGACTCTGGACACGCCTCGCAGCGATCTACCCGCCTCGCTTGTGCAGTGCCTACGCCCCGTGCGTAGCCAAGGCCGTCTCCAACAACGAGCAGAAGCTGCACGATTGGCGCATGCGAGAAGTTCGAGGCGCATCGCCGAAGTCGATCGCAGTCATGAGTCACTGGGCCAAAGTATCCAGATGGCATCTCGCATGGAAAGGGGTTTGGGCTTATCACGACCACATCAATGTGCAGGAGATGAGAACGGTCGCATCAGTATCTCGGCACCTGTGTCGGTCATCAAGGAACTGGTTCAGCCGAGTCTTGGTTCTGTGCGATTCTATGGTTACGGTGGGAGCAGTCAAAAAGATGCGAAGCTCCTCGCGACCTTTGATGAATCAGCTAAAGAAGATCGGTGCGATCACGCTGGCCACAGGTATCAGATTGACGCTGAGATGGATCCCCACGGACATGAACCCTGCCGACGGCCCGTCGAGAGGCGAGGAGATAGGCAGCGCCGAGATCACCAAGACCAAGTCCGAGCTGGGGATCAAGGTCCAGGCCTTCTGGGTGGCCTCCCCCCGCCCTGTGCCACGACCACCTTAAGGTCACTCGAGACAGACGGTGGGTGTCAGGACCTCACCCACCGAGGTCCTGACACCCACCGTTGGCGTTTGTTGGCGCCTGAGCACGACCCTTCGGGGGGGAGGCCAACGCATGCGACTTCAAACGAAACAACACGTTAAAGTAGGCAGCGCGCCAACAGTTTTCGCAAACTAGCACACGCACACACTCAATGTAACCGCAAGCATTCGCACACACTACTTCACTATTTGTATCACAACTGCATAGCCGTTTCTATATTGAATCGCACCCCCAAGGTGCTAACGCGTAACAGAACATATCGGCTCGGATTCTCTTCAAAATGCACGTGCACACACACAACAACAGCAACATCATACGGCACACGCGCAACACAGCGTCACTACCTTCGAGGGACTCAGGAGTTGATCAATCTTCACTGGCGGAAGGCGGCGGAAGTAAGAAAGAGGGCCCCAAGAAACGCCAAGAGTCACTCACCTCCTGTCGTGCGCTTTCTCTACACGCTTCCTCATCTATCCCCAGCCGCTGCTGTTCCCGCCGTCCCTCCTCCTCCTCCGCCTCCTCCTCCGCCTCCGCCTCCTCCTTTTTTTTCGTCGAGGGAGGCGTCTGCTGCTATTCTGCTCAGCAATTTTAGCTTTTGCGTTTTCGCCATTGTCTTGATATGAGTACCAGAGCACTAGCATTTGCGGTTGGCAGCAATGCTCACATTGAGAATGGAAACGTGCGCTTCCACTCTATGGAGTCTCTTTGCAGGGCTTTGTCTGAGGTTGCCCAGGTTTGCCAGGTCTCGAAGGCCAACGTGGTCAAGGGGACTAGAGCTGCCCGGCGCCGACAGCTCCAGGACGTGGACTGGGGCACGTTCAAGAGCCTCGTCGCTTACATGGGACCTGTTGTTTCGTGGGATGAGTGCGAAGAGATGCATGGTCTGAATCAGGTGGGGGCAGGGGGGGTGCAAGGGCTAGTGCACTTGGGGACTAGAGAGCAGCAAGTAGTGAACGGCGCGTTTGGTTCAGCATACTGGAGCTGCTTCAATGATTATTGTTGTTGCGTTTAATTTCATTCGGCCTTCGAAGTTGGAAGGGGAGGTGCTTACGCCGTCGTCTCTGCCTTCGTCTCTGGATTGCAGTTCTACGGTTTCTGCGACAGTATCGCCGCAGCAATCATTTTGCTTCTCGGATGCTTCTCTTGAAACGGGCAGTCTTCGCAGGATATGCTCGTCGAAGTCGACGGTGACGGCGACGGTGACGATTTCGAAGATATCGATGTGAAAGGAGAATCAGTTCAGCAGCTTCGCAAACGCTTCAAGTCATACAAGAAATCAACGCATAGGAAAATTGCCAGGAGGGATGCAGCGATCGATGAACTTAAAGAAGAGATGCGAGCACTGAAACAAGCACAGCAAGATGCCGAGTTTCGGCGAGGGCCAAAAGGGCGATATCTGACAGACAGGGGTGGCATGAGGATTGCGATGAGACGAATCATCTCCAACGCCCCTGCAGCATGTTTGGGGCTGGCATGCGAGATGAATATTTCAGGGCCAACGGTGGCTGACTGGGAGATCAAATTGAGGGCTGCCATGGTAGCAGCGAATAAAGCGTGGCATCACCGCATGATTGAAGATCTTCGGGAGTACCATGTTGGTGCTGGTGTTCGTGCAGAGACTTGCTCTACTACGGTATCGTTACATGTTCTTCGTGGTGACGCCACGAACGCCTTCATTTGGCAACGATTGAAACTCCATACGATGGAAGTCGGAGTGGGCTACACCAGGGAGGCTCGAAGAGGGCAATCTAAACGTCCAGTCCCTTGGGGTGCGAAGGTAATCGCGCTTCGCGCATCGCGGTATTGGCTGAAGAGGTCCCCTTCTCCAGGGGACCGCGGGGGGCACGAAGATAACCGCGCGTCGCAGTCCACCTGGGAGGGAAGTAGGAGGGGGGGGAGGATTCCAAATGTCATCGCAGGCCATCCACGAGCATGACAATTGGAAGCACATGCTGAGGAATATGAGTTTCAGAAAATGCATGGGGGACCTTCAAGTGGTGAAACAAAGCAACATTCTCGGCACGTACGGTATGATCAAAAAACAACTCGCCAGCACATATGCGACGAATTGGTATACTCGAGTTGTCGATCATCGCCCCTCTCTCGCTGCCCTCTGCGACGACTCTAGAGAGGGGACAGCCACACCATTGCTGATTGCTGATCATTCGGATGCACCTGTGCCTGTCGTTGCGGATGGTCCTGCAGCCATTGTGCCAAGCGGTGCTGCAGACTCGTGCACTGACGCTCTAGCGTGCCAGTGGGAGCGCGAGGGGGCCACGTGTTTGGGGAATCGTCACATCGAAGTTTGGATGATCACTTCAGATGCAGGTGGTGACGAGGTCGGGTCACGGGCACTGATCCATTCGGAGACTCTTGGGAATCCTTGGTGCTGGGTGTTCGACGGGGATTGCATGATGCACCAGCTTCACATCATGGTTCGCAACTCGCTAGAAGAATGTGACTTCATGCTGCAGGAGATACCGAGGGCCGAGTAGTCCTGTTTCTCTGCTTTCTCCTACTATTCCTCATCTTCTTCCTCCTCCTCCTCCTCCTCCTCTCTCTTCTCCTCCTCCTCCTCCTCACTGGAAGTCCTCCACATAGGAGGTCCTCCACCTAGGACCTCCGGAAGTCCTCTTCCGGGGACCCTCCACCTAGGACCTGCGGAAGAAGAGAGCTGCCCTTCGAAAGGAGAAGGCTCCGACGAAATTGAGGCGCTCTGCGGAGCTGAAGCAATAACCCCCTCCTGCTTCAAAATAGTCAAGGTTTCTTTTTGTTTGGGGGGGGCTGCAAATTTTTGGAAGGGGGGGCTGAAATTGTTGGAGGGGGAACTGCCCAGAGAAGGTATTACGCCACCCTGGCCAAGATTATGCACTTATGGAGAGAGCATGCTCGTACCGTCTTCAGCATGTGGGCTAAGCACGTGGACCCCTCGAGCGCCATGACCTTCGCACACTCGGTCCCACCGAAACCATTAGTCGGAAGATGGGGAAACACCTCGAAGTGCGAGGCCCACATTGACCGCTGCCCGTTGAGAGTGCTGCGACCAATCCTGCTTACCCTGATGTGCAAAAAAAAATGATGCTGAAAAAAATGTTGAGAGGGTGACCGCGAAAATGGAGAGGGAGGAGGGCAACGGTGCGAGCAAGGCAGACATCGACGAGATGGGACACGACGACATGGCAGCTTTCGCAACTAAGCAAAACAAGTGGGCAACCGACGCAGCAGAAGGTGTAAAAGACGATCTTTTCTTTGCAGTATTGAAAGTGTCCAAGGCGGCAAAAGGGCCATACGACGCAGCGCTGTATTCTCTCATGAAGTATCGGGGGGCAAACACACCATCAAGTCTTGCAAGATTCGTATGGGGCACAGCAGCTGCTATCATGGGCAAGCTTGACGGTGGGGACGCCTGGGGCTGGGGAGTTCTGCAATCATGATGGGTCTTGCAATATGAGCAGAGCACCTTGGCATACCATGTTTGCTGCCATCATGCTATCTCCTCCTCCACTTCCTTCCCAACATGGTTCTATTGAAGTAGAAACATGTTGGCAGCACTGCCAGAGTGTTGTTA